GGCAGGTCGGGCAGACGCTGGGAGCTGTAGCCCCAGCGTAGGTGTGGCAAAGCGGCAGGGGCCCCAGCCCACGCAGGCAGCCTGCGATGCTTGCGTGCTGAGTGCCACTTCGGGGGGGACCCCCTTGTGAAGATGGCTGCCTCTCTGCACATACTAGCACCTGTGCCGCGCGATAGCGGCACAAACGGGGCGTCGCTCCATCGGGGTGACTTCCCCCTGCGAGGTTGGATGCCGTGAGCCTTCCAGTCGCATGTTGATGCCAGTGGCCCGCGTAACGGTCTGGACGGCCGTAGTTTTTAGCAAGGCCGCGAAAACGACATGAAACCGGCTTTCTGGGTTGCCATCCCCGCTTGGCGATGGCCCCAGGATGCCACAACAAAGTGTGGCTATTTTTCCTCTGCTTGGTCAGGGCAGCAGGACGAGTGGCAGCAGAAGCATGGTAGAGTTAGCGTCTTGCGAGCATTGTTTAGGAAATCCCATGCAGAGGGCTTCCGACATAGAGGCTTCACTCACAGAGGGAACGAGCTGCAGAGGACATCGCACGTGCACGCATCATTACACTCGCTCGGAATCTCTCGAAACTCACCCCTTCTACAGTCACACAATATGGTTGGCTTGCTGATCCGGTCGAATCAGCGGGCCAGGGGCTACCGCGAACTTGCTATGCAGTGGTCCGTAGTCCCTGTCCCTAACAGACTGCTGCGCGGGTAACTCTTGTGGGGCCGAAGCCCCAGCTCTAGGAGACGTCATGTCTCTGCACGTACAACAAACATCATGGATACATCCCGTACGAAACGATCGTACGACTACCATGCAGCAGTCTGGGGCTCACGAAGGCCCTGGATTTTGGCTCAAATCGGGCACCCGGGATTTAGGCTCCAATCGGGCACCCGGGATTTTGGCTCGAATCGGGCACCTGGCAGCGCTCAAAATAAAACCCCGCCCTAAGCCTCCTTAGGGCGAGGTTTCGATGATGATGATGATGACGATGACGATGACGATGACGATGGCGATGATGATGATGATGATGATGATGATGATGATGATGATGATGATGATGATGATGAGGATGATGAGGATGATGAGGATGATGAGGATGATGATGATGATGATGACGATGATGACTATGAGGAGGATGTGGAGGACGAGGAAGAGGAGGAGGCAAAAGGAAGAAGAGGAGGGAGAGGGGCGGGAATAAATGGAAGCGACAGGGAGGGCGATGGCTCCGGGAGCTGAGCGCCAAAGGGGGAAGGGGGGGGGGGAGCTTCAAGCCCCCCCCCCCTTTGCACCAAGGGAGGGAGGGGGGGGAGCTTCCAAAGCCCCCCCCCTTTCAAAGGGGTGGGGTGGCTCACCCCAGCTCCATTAAAAGGAGGGAGGGGGGGGTAGCTTCCGGCACGAAAAGAGGGGGAGGGGGGGGGGGTAGCCTTCCGAGCCCCCCCCCCCTTTCAAGTGGGTGGGGGTGGCTCCACCCGGCTCTAAAGGAGGGAGGGGAAAGGGAGCTTGAAGCCCCGCCCCCCCCCCCCCTTCCGGACCACGAAAAGGGGGGGAGGGGGGAGGGCGGGGGCCCCCCCCCCTTAGCAAGGAAGGGGGGAGGGGGGGGTAGCTTCAAGCTGGGCCCCCCCTTCTAGTCTGTCGGGCCCCACGAGCGCGGTCTATCTATGCTATGCTGCGCTATGCTATGCTATGCTATGCTATGCTTTTGCTTTGCCTTCGCTTTTGCCTTCACTTTTGCCTTTGCTTTTGCTTTTGCTTGGCACCCAGGGAGCGCAACTGGGGGAACCGCGCGTTTGCTTTTACCTTTGCTGTTGCTTTTGCTTGGTTCGCAGGGGACTGGGGGAACCGCCCGGGGCGCGTTCCACTGCCCGGCCCTGTTAAGCTAAGCGAGTAAGAACCCTTCTAGGCAGAGCCTAGGTAGGGAACAAAGCTGCGGCAACTTCACGGATGGAGGGGAAGTGGGTTTCAAAACGTGTCTCCCCCGCCTGAGCAACGCGAGCATTCGGCTGCAAAGTGTGCAACACATTTACGGTGCAAGGGGGTGGTGCTTAAACTGTGACTCTCGCGTTAACGCCGCGTGCGCTCGTCTGAAACATGTGTAAACATGTCACGGATGGGGATGTCAAAACATGACTCTCACCCTATAGCCGCGAGCATTCGTCTGAACAGTTTGCTACGAATTTAAGGATGGAGGAGAGGCGGTTTTCAGACTGTAACTCTCTCCGTAACACCGCGCACACTCGTTTAAAGATTTCGCCTTCTATTCACAGATAGAGGGCGGTTCCTTTTCATAGTGAGGGTCTCGCCTGAGCACCACGAACATTCGTCTCAACTCCTGACAACAATTTCAAGGATTGAACACCTGCCGCTTCCAAAATGGGACTCTCGCCACACCGCCGCGTGAATTCGATGTTTCCCGCAGTGTTTGGCGGGATGGGTGGCCACAGTTTTCAAAATGAAGTTCTCGATTGGGACTTCGCTACGCTGAAAAACCGAAGCTCCAACGCACGTACAGTCGGGGCGTTGACCTACGGAACGAAACATAAGGAACGAGGCCCCTTTTTCCCATACGTTAAACTCCGATTTTCCATGGAAGACCTCCGGCAAACCCAAGAAGCACTGTAAAGCAACTAAGGAACACGGAGCCCCTCCCCAACAGAAAGGGTTCCTTCTTCAGGGCCCCGACTGCAGCGCTGCAAGAGTCCATGGCGGCCCCTTTTCAAAATGGAGCCGTCGCCTGCGGCTTCGTCGAACGGCAAAGCAAGCCGAGCAACCCGGGGGCAGCTGCACGGACGGGGGCGGTCTTTCTTCGAAAGAGGGGGAGCTCGCTGGACACCTCGTCGAACTGTGCAGAGGGGGGCACGGCCACGAGAAGCCGCCGAAAGAAGTCCGACCCCGAACCTCGGCAACGCTTTCCGCCCAGGGTACGGGTTTCTTTCGCTCTCCTGGCTACGCGCCAGTAAGATTGGGCGCCCGAGTTATCCGGGGTGACTCGGGTCCAGGGTAACTCGGGTTTGGATCCTCGAAAAAGGAACCCGAGTTAGCCCTGACCCGAGATACCCCTGATGATTCGGGGCTCTGGACGCCCGAGTCATCCGGGGTGACTCGGGTCCGGGGTGACTCGGGCTTGGATCCCCGAAAAACGAACCCGAGTTAGCCCTGACCCGAGTTACCCATCGGTCGGAAGAAGTAGGTAGAAACATGAAGTAGGAAGGCGTTGGAAATAGATTGGGTTTCCGCACGCCTCCTGAAGAGGAAAGAAGAGGGAAAACTACTCGACTCTTGAAGTAGGAAGGCGCTGAAAGTAGATTGGAATCTGGGAATCCAAGAATACCTACTTTCAACGACCGATGGGTACCCCTGATGATTCGGGTCTCTGATGAGGTGCAAGGCAACTCCTTTTCAAAGCGGGGCCATCGCCAGCATGGCAGGCCCAGCTGTGCTGCTTTTTGTTCACGGGGGCGCTTCCTGTCGTGGAGAGGAGGACCTGCAGGGGCGATGAGGAGGGGACGTTGGACGGGAGGGAGGGTGTATTACAGCATCGTTTATGCACCTTTAGTTTCCTGCTCCTCCTCCTGCTCCTGCTCCTTCTCCTCCTCCTCCTCCTCCTCCTCCTCCTCCTCCTCCTCGCCCTTCCTCCTCCTTGACCTTCTCTTCTCCTGCCGCCTCCCGGCTTTTGCTGGCCGCGCCAGCCTGCTCGCGGCCCTGCTCACGCTGGTACTCCAGGTCGCGCAGGCGCGCCTCCTGCACGCCGAGCTGCTCGCGGTACGCCTCCGCATGCCGGGGCGGCGGGGGGGAGGGGAGGCAAAACGGGGAGGGGGCTCAGGGGGAGAAGGGTGGAAGACGGAGAGGGAGGAGGGGGAGGGGGGGAGGGGGAGGATGGAGGAGGGAGGAGGAGAGGAGGAGGAGGAAGGAGGAGAGGAGGAGGAGGAGGCGGAGGAGAGGAGGAGGAGGAGGAGGAGGAGGAGCACGGAGGAGGAGGAGGAGGAAGAGGAGGAGGGGGGGGGTGGGACGGAGACGGGGAAATGGAGGAAATGGGCGGGAGGGGGAGGCGAGGGGGAGTGAGAAAGGGGCGATGGGGGAAATGGGAGGGAAATCGAAGGGAGGAGGAGGAGGAGGAGGAGGAGGAGGAGGAGGAGGAGGAAGAGGAAGAAGAGGTGGAAGAGGAGGTGGAAGACGAGGTGGAAGAGGAGGCTGAGGATCACAATCTTCCACCCTGCCCGCCACCGCACCGCCGCAACCGTGGAGGAGGAGGGTGGGGGCCAGTGCGGGGGCGAGGAGGAGAACCTTGCACAGGCGGCTCGCCCTGACCTCAAGCTTGGTTGACCCTCAAGCCGCACATTCACATTCACATTCACATTCACATTCACATCCACATTCACATCCACATTCACAATCACATTCACACTCACACTCACACTCACACTCACACTCACACACACACACACACACACACACACACACACACACACACACACACACACACACACACACGCGCACTTTTGCGTCGGCGGCTGGGCAGAAAGCAAACGCTCCAGCGGATGGGCAACAGGGGACACGCTGCATGTAAATTAAGGCCGCAATGCGCGGAGGAGGAGGACGAGCCCCAGCGCGACAGGGGGAGAGGAAGCCGGGCCCACTCAGAGTCGCCGACTGCGGCGGGGGCTGGCCGGTCGTCTGTGACAGCCGCCGCGCCGCCGCCACTTTACGCCCAGTTGCCGCATGGGCCCCTTCTCTCGCCCCCAGTCGTCTGGGCCCACCGCCAAGCTGTCGCTACTATACTGCGCGTATGCGAGAAGGGTGGTGGTGGTGGTGGTGGTGGTGATCCTCCTCCTCCTCCTCCTCCTCCTCCTCCTCCTCCTCCTCCTCCTCTTCCTCCTCCTCCTCCTCCCCCTCCTTCTCCTCCCCCTCCTCCTCCTCCTCCTGGGCCTCCTTCCTGCCTCCTCCCTTTACCCAGCCTCCCTCCTCTACCTTCCTGCCTCCTCCCTTTACCCAGCCTCCCTCCTCTACCTCCTCCTCCTCCTTTCTCCCAGGAGGGCCGCCCCTGGCGTTGGCCAGGTGCCGCCCGGTGGGAGGCTCGCGGGAGGTGCCGCGCCGGCGCGGGCCGCCCCTGGCGTTGGCCAGGGTCGGCCGCGGACCACCCCGGCACTGCCGCTGCCGCCTCCGCCGCAGGCCTCCCTAGAGGGGGCGACGTCCGAACCCTGCCCCCGCCAGCCGTCGGTTCTCCCGAGTCGGCGGTGGGCTGTCTTCCACCACCACCACCGCAAGTTTGGGGTGGGAGGGAGAGGAGGAGGAGGACGGAGGGAGGAGGAGGAGGAGGAGGAGGAGGAGGAGGAGGAGGAAGGGGGGGAGGGGAGGAGGGGGGGAGGAGGGGGAGGAGGGGGAGGAGGAGGGGAGAGGAGGGGGAGAGGAGGAGAAGAGGGGGAGGAGGAGGAGGAGGGGGAGGAGGAGAAAGAGGAGGAGGAGGAGGAGGAGGAGGAGGAGGAGGAGGAGGAGGAGGAAGAGGAGGAGGAGGACCCCCTCCCCCTCCAACTTCTGGTGGTGGTGGTGGAGAACAGGCCCATCAGACGGGAGGCGGGGGCGGGCTCGCCGGGCTTCGCCACGCGCTCGACGAGTTCCGAACCCCACCCCCGCCACCCGCCGGGCTGCCCGGCTCGCTGATCAGCGAGGGGGGAGTTCGGACCTCGCCGCGGAGTTCGGAGTCTATTTCGGAAACTGGAGCACATGCATCACCAGTGGCGGGCTGTTGCCCCATCCCGGGAAATGTTGAGGGTCGTGGACGACGTCGGGGTGGGGTGGTGTATACCTGTTTCCTCGCTGTCCCGGGGGAGCAGCGACAACTGCACACACCAGGATGCCGTTTACGCCAGAATCCGCTTTCTCGTGCGAGCTTCGGTGCGGGACCGGAAAAAGCATCGGTGTGTGCAGTTCGGTTTCTTACCATTTGGCTCACGCACGCCACCCGAGCGGTCGTCTTCTGCGCTCCATCCGCCCAGCCCCCCCGGGCAGCGCAGGCCGCCGAGGTGGTGGGCGGAGGGCAGCGCGTCATCGAAGCACCAGTGCCCGCGGCCACCAGCCACGAGGAGGCTCAGGAGGAGGACGGTGGAGGAAGAGGAGGAGGAGGAGGAGGAGCCAGCGGAGAAGGATGATACGGAGAGGCGGCGGATGGGGAGAGGGAAGATCAGAAGGGGAATGAGGATCAGCTGGCGCGGACGGGATGGTCAGGAGGCGAGGGCCAGACAGACGGGAATTGACAGCTAAGGAGACGAAGGGGAGGATCAGGACTGGTGGCCAGGAGTCAGGACGAGGAGAAGAGGCAGGAAGCTCAGAGCCACGTCGGCGCATTTTGGAGCGCGTGGATTTGGCCATATGATTGTTACGCGCATGATTGTACGACGAACGGTGATGCCGTCATCTGCTGCCCTACCCTTGCACTCCCCCATGCAAGTTACATCTGCAACGCGTATTGCATGCAACATCGCATCACACATCTATGCTGTACATGTACGCTGGCCTGCAACATACTTATATTCGCATCATCAAAAAACTTGAGGTGTGCGGGACACGCGTGGAGCTACGTTCGCGATCAAACTGTGCAGTAACGGAGGCAACAACGTTTGACCTGCCGCCGCGGTTGTTGAGCCTGTCAAGCGATGTAAAATACAGCAGGCAGCAGGGGAATTACCGTTTTCTTCATACCTATCCAGCTATTCCTAATGCGATTGACGCTGGGAGGAGGAGGAGGAGGAGGAGGAGGAGGACGGACATATCTATATACACACGTACATGTACACGTGTGTCGAAACAGGTGCATATATACAAGACTGCATTGGCGCTTCGCGCCATGCACCTTGGTCCTTCAAGTCGATCGCTGTTGGTTGCAATTTCCGCCATCACCGTTATCAGATTGTTGCTCATTCCTTTCCCCATGTGTCCTTTATTGCCTTGATTGCACTCTTTCCTTCGGCTGCTCGCCCTGGTTGCCCCCCCAAGACCTTTCCCGTCCGGCTCAGGTTTGTTCGCGGAGGCTCCTCCGAGGCGAGCTTCTGGAGGACCTCGCGAGAGCTCTTTAGGGGCTCATTGGGCGCCTCTGGAGACGCCGCCCCTGGCGCCTTTCGGCAGCCGCTGGGGGGGTCCTCGGGCCACTATGCCGCGAACCCTGGTCTCGGGTCACGGTTTGGATGCTTCCGGAGATCGTCTTGGGGTAATTTTGGCCCGTCATAGGGGCCCTCTGTGGGTACTTTCTGAGCCCTCCTGGGCCGTCTTGGAGCCCTTGGACTGCCAGGAAGCCTTTTGTCGTCCTGGAGCGGTTCTTGGTGCCGCTCGGGGTTCTCGGACGCCCGGAAGACCAAAGAACCGAGCACAGCCCAGAATCCTGCCAGAACCAACGGGAAATCAGCGCTCTCTGCGTTTCGAAAGGCTCGCCATCGCTCGGACGTCCATTCCCTGTGCTTTTTTCGGCTTCGTGCGTGTTTTTTACACCAAATGATCAAGGATGCTCCTCGATGGTCCTCGCCAAAGGGAAAATCCACACGTCCGAGCGATGCCAAGAAGGCGCTTGGGGGTGATATCTGGGCCGTCGTCGGGCGTCTGGCGGGGGTCCTGTGCCGCTGGAGGCCGTCCTGGCCCGTCTTGGGGGGGTCTCTTGGGACCGTCGCCGGCCGGGTTGCACGGCCCGGCGGGGACTCCCAGAGGCCCGGGCATCCTGCGGGGCCCTCGGAGGGGGCGTCCAGGAGCCCCATCAGAGAAACTATGGATTCAGTTTGTGTCGGGGTTTCGGTTTTCTGCTATGCCTGGCGGCCCATAGGGGCCAGACGGATCGCGAGGAGGCGCATGAGGAGGAGGAGGAGGAGGAGGAGGAAAAGGAGGAGGAGGAGGAGGAGGAGGAGGAGGGCCATCTGTGGTTGTGGCTCCTCGCGTTTCTCCGGCCTGCCTCTCTCCCCTCCCCCTCCTCCCTCCCTCCCTCTCTCCTCCTCCCCCCGCCCCTCCCCCCGAAATGGGACGAATTACAACCGACTAGTCCCAATTCCAACCGTTCGGAGCGAATTGCAACCATACATGGGACCAATTACAACCATGGGATCTTCAGAAGTACTTCTTTCTTCTTCAGAAGTATTTCTTTCTTCTTCAGAAGTACTTCTTTCTTCTTCAGAAGTACTTCGATTCCTTAGGATTCCTTACGATTCCTTAGGATTCCTTAGGGTCCTTAGGATTCCTTAGGGTCCTTGGGATTCCTTGGGATCCTTAGGAATATTCGCGAATTCATGGGAGTCCTGAAAAATCCTTAGGGGAAGAAAGCGCTTTGGGGGCCTTCTTGAGTTCGCTTTGGGCCACTCTTAAGGCCCGCTTGGGCCTTCTTGGAGCCCTCATGGGGCCCTTATTGACTTTTCTTGGCGCCAAAATAAGCCCTAGAAGGGCCAACTCTCGAGGGCTGCAGGAGGACCAACTTTTGACGTCAATACTACGAATCTTACTACCACTTCGACCTACTGATACGATTTCTGCTACGACTACTACTGCTACAGCTACTACGACTACTTCTACTCCTACTACTACTACTACTACTACTACTACTACTACTACTACTACTACTACTACTACTACTACTACTACTACTACTACTACTACTACTACTACTACTACTACTACTACTACTACTACTACTACTACTACTACTACTACTACTACAAACGCTACTATTCTTTCCTGCTTCTACTACTACGCCTACTGCTTTTAATCATATTACTTCTACTGAAGCGACGCCGCCTACA